ATACTTTCCTGCTGGATGGTTAAGACCAAGATAAAGCAAGACCTAGATAACAAAAAATGTAACTTTTGTATCTGGTAAGGTCAGTCAAATCCCCTCAGGATTTACCCTGTAGTTGTCAGTGTCAGCCATTTGGATGAGTCACAGCCATTGTTTGACCAATTTGTTCTCTGTGAAAGCCTGAGAGAATGTTTTCTCTCCAGGTGACTCCGGAAATTTTTTTAAAACACAGGGAGAAGTGGGGCAGAGAGAAAGGAAAGCTAAGTCATACTGAGTTATAAAGCCACTGCCACTGTGCCTTGTGTGCAAGCCATGAGGATGCTGAGAGGACACACTTCTCAGGTCCAGTTCCCTTCTCTGCAAAATGCAGTAATTTTTAAAAATGTATTTCATACAGTGTCTTACTACACAGGGTCAACAGGGTCTTACTACACACATTGGACTCGTAGTGATCCTCCTGTTTTCAGCTTCCCAAGCACTGGGATTATAGTCACACACCACCATGCCCAGTCTCAGTTGCTGTCTCAGCCTGTCCTGAGAGTGGGGGGCCAGCACATAACATGCTGGGGATTGAACCCTGGACCCTTCATCTGCCTAAACAGGGGCTTTAGTCAGCTGAGCTATCTGGCCAACCCAAAATGCAGTAATATGTGCCCCAAGAAATCAAGTGTTGTGTATGGCACTAATATTTGTGGTGCTGGAGTGCTTTGAACACAACAGAGCAAAACAACTTACTTAAAATCACATGTAGTTGTAGTTTCCTTGGCTCCTGACTGCTTCTCCAGTGTGTTGTCTATAGCACTAAAAATACAAGTAGCATTTCTTGTAATGTCACCGTGACCCAGAAACCTGTCCCCTGATTCTTCAGAAAGGTCACAGATTCTCTTCTAAATGGAGTATTTAACTTCTTCAGAGGCATTTTAAACCTGCCTTGCTTCATTGAGAGCCTCAGCAGGGTTCAGGCAGTAGAAAAAATAATCTTCCCATGCCATATTGCCCTTTTCTTGCCCACTGGCCCCTCAAACTTGTAGTGGTGGTCATGAGGTGTTTGTCTTTGGGACCAGGAATAGTGTGTCTGTTCTTTAGCCCTAAATGTTACTCTTTTTTTTTTTTTTTTTTTTTTTGGTCATTTTGGGACAGCATCTCACTATGCAGTTCAGGCTGGCCTTGTGCTCACTTTGTAGCCCAAGCTGGTCTCAAACTCGTAACAATCTTCCTGCCTCAGCTTCTAGAGTGCTGGCATTGCAGGCTTGCACCACCACTGCTGGATGTAAAAGTCACTCTTAAGAAAGGCTCTGCTATCCCCTTGTAGCAGCGGAGATAAGTACAACATTCACCTTCAGCTGCAGAACTGTTCGACTCCTATAGAGGTATTTGGGTATTTT